AAAACTCACTCCTACTGAGCGAAACTATGATGTTGGTAACAGAGAATTATTAGCAGTTAAGGCTGCATTGTAAGAATAAAGACGCTGGTTGGAGGGGGCCCGCTATCCATTCATGATTCTCACTGATCACCAAAACCTAGAATACATAAAGGCAGCCAAATGTTTAAACCCACATCAGGCCCAGTGGGCTCTTTTACCAGATTCAACTTTTTTGTTAATGCCTGTGTTGTTTATGCACAAAGCAGGACGCCACGTCAATTGCCTGTGGGGCTGCTGCTCCCCATTCCTCATCGTCCATGGTCCCATTTGTCTATTGATTTTATGATGGACCTCCCTTCATCTCAGGGCCATACAGTCATCGTGGTGGTCATTGACCGATTCTCCAAGGGGTGTAGACTCATTCCATTAAGCAAGTTACCTACTGCCATGGAAACTGCTGAGACATTGTTTCGTGAAGTATTTAGGTTTTATGGTCTCCCAGAAGACATTGTTTCAGACCGGGGTCCCTAGTTTACCTCCCATGTTTGGCAAGCCTTTTGTAAGTTGTTGAACATCACAGTCAGCCTGTCTTCTGGTTATCATCTCCAATCCAATGGGCAAGTGGAAAGACTCAACCAGGAAATTGGCAGGTTTCTGTGTCCATATTGCAGCAACTACCAATTTGACTGGAGCCATTATTTACCCTGGGCAGAATATGCACAAAATTCATTGATGCATACTTCCACAGGCCTAACCCCATTTCAGTGTGTCATAGGGTACCAACCTCCTCTGTTTCCCTGGTCTGGAGAGCCATCTGAAGTTTGTTGATGACTGGATGAGGCGGAGTGAGCAGACATAGGAGGAAGCTCATGTTTGTCTACAGAGGGCAATAAGGAGACAGAAGATCCAAGAGGACCGCCATCGCAGAGACTGCCCTACATATGGAGTGGGTCAGAGGGTATGGCTGTCTAAGGATTTGAAATTGAAATTGCCATGTAAAAAACTAAGTCCCAAGTATATGGGGCCTTTTAAGATTGTCCGGAGGATTAATCCTGTCTCTTACCATCAGTTGCCTACCCACTATATGATTTCACCTACTTTTCATGTTTCATCACTCAAAACTGTTTCTACTGCTGGTCGTCAGGTTTTTACCCCAGTGGAGGCCCCACCGCCCTTGGACATTGATGCGTCACCGGCGTACCTGGTCTGGGCCCTGTTGGATTCTAGGCGGCATTGTAGGACTCTCCAATACTTGGTAGACTGGGAAGGCTATGGTCCCGAGGAACGATGCTAGGTTAGATCAGAGATTACAGACTGTAGTCCATCTGTTTCTCTGCGTACTTTGTTAGCCCCCTTTTACCCTGTTCTTCAGTGGTCAGGACCCTCATAGACCCTCACAGAGCAGGTACTATTTGGGTGGTGGCTCATTCTCAGCACTGCAGTGGTGGTGGTGTTAGTGTGTGTTGTGCTGGTCAGAGTGGATCAGACACAGCAGTGCTGCTGGAGTTTTTAAACACTGTCCACTCTATTAGACACTCCTACCTTGTCAGTCCACCTTGTAGATGTAAAGTCAGAGACGATAGCTCATCTGCTGCTGCACAGTTTGTGTTGGTCATCCTCTAGTCCTTCATCAGTGGTCACAGGACGCTGCCCACAGGACGCTGTTGGCTGGATATTTTTGGTTGGTGGACTATTTTCAGTCCAGCAGTGACACTGAGGTGTTTAAAAACTCCAGCAACACTGCTGTGTCTGATCCACTTGTACCAGCAACACACACTAACACACCACCACCACGTCAGTGTTACTGCAGTACTGAGAATGATGCACCACCCAAATAGTACCTGCTCTGTGAGGGTCCATGGGGGTCCTGACCACTGAAGAACAGGGTAAAAGGGGGCTAACAAAGTATGCAGAGAAACAGATGGACTACAGTCTGTAATTGTAGAACTACAAAGTGCACCTATATAGAAAGTGGAGCTGGTAAAATGGACAATAAGTGTAGAAACATGGAGATGGTCATGATGTTATGCCTGATCAATGTATGTGTTAGAACAGGGAAAGTATAACACTGTGCAGGGAAGAGGGTCCCTGGGACTGCACACATTCTGTTTATTAGTTTACATCTGTCTTGTACCCTAAAATTGTTGTAGTTCAGAATTAGTCCTTTGCATATGGTTTATTTAGATTTGGGTTGATGGCTTATACAAAATGACTTAGTGACTATCAGATACTATGACAAAGACTGACTGCATCAACTACATCAGCTGCATGCTACTGTGAAACAGGATATCAAATGTGAAACAGGATAAAACTTCACTGTAAGTACTCATTGTGTAGGTAGATTTGTGCTAAATCTAAAGCTAATCCAGTGGTTCCCAAACATATTTCATTTATATCCCCTGCCCTGCACATATTTAGTGTTTTTCATGCTTACAACACACCTTATTAAACTAACCAGATAATTAACAATCCCTAACTGAATTGAAGTATTAGAGCTGGGAAAATGTTAAAATGTGTTGGGCGTGGGGAACAACCTCTTGTGTAAACTATTTATTGCCATTTCATCATCAGGACCATCATATGTGTGTCCAAAATTAACAATTTGTCCTATGTGCTTTATTTTCTTAACAACAGGTAATCTGGTCATAAAACTGCATCACAGTGAGGTGATTGGTAACCGCATCATTGTTAAGGTAAGAGTAATATAATTTTTACACAACTATTTTAAGTTTCACTTCAGGGTAGTTTGCAGTTCCAAAGGGTGTTTGCCATGATGCTCCATTTTTGTGTTTGCAGTGACAAATACAAGTAAAATACATATGCAGAAATTCGTAGACACCTGGTTGTCCAATGTTCATTTTGAAATTAGTGGTATTAATAGGGAGCTTGTTCCAGCCTTCGCTGCAATATCAGCGTCTACTCTTCTGGGAAAGGCTTTACAGATGACGGAACATTGCTGTGAAGATTTGTTTGCATTCAGCCACAAGTGAATTAGCATTAGTTGGATCACTCCAACTCATCGCAGAGATATTCAGTGGTGGTCCTGGGCCTGTCGCAAGAACGACAAATCACCTAATCTCAATTATTTGAGAAGTTTTTTGAGATGACTTCAATAATTTGCCACAGTAGTTAGATTTCATAGTCAAATTATGCTGCAACTAACAAAATTTGAATTGGTTGTAAAGTTTCGAGGTGAATACGTTTAAATTATCAGAAGCAGTAATGCAGGGGTGTCCAGTCTTACTCGCAAAGGGCTGGTGTGGCTGCAGGTTTTCATTGCAACAAAGAAGGAGCTCACATGATCAGTTGTTTAAAGACCGAGACTGACTGATTAAACTGTTAGAATCAGGTGTCTTCCTCTTGTTTGGAACAAAAACCTGCACCCACTCTAGCCCTTTGTGGATAACATTGGGACGCTTATATCAAAAAGAAAGTATCCACTCTCCCTAAATTGCATGGGGTGCTAACCTACAATCTCAAAGGAAGAACCAAGCAAAATTGAGACTGGGAGGCGGGACTTTTCCTAAACTTTGAAGAGTTTTTCTTCAGTGGAGCTCAGTAATCCAGTAAAAATGTTTTACTGCAATAAACATACTACGCAGCAGTGCATGTACACCATATTTTAACGTTTTAATTTCCATCCTGACTCAATAATGCTACTTCTTCTAATTTTAACAAAACAGTTGTATCTAGTGCAATTTTAAATAAAGTAAAAGTTTAAAGCTATTATGGTTTACAAATGCTCAGCTTGTGACAGGCACCTTTACTAAACATTTTGTTGATGTCACACCAGAGAACAAATTTTTACAGCCAATGGTTGAAAAATTAGGTATAGAAGTATGTAATTTTATGTGAATATAAGAAAAAATTGCAACTTAAATTTGAGCTGCCAAATTAATTTTTATCTGCACTGTTGATAATTTTGTCAGTAAAAGATGCCTGATCTTTGACATAAAATATTTTTCCATTCTTTGTGGCATCTATCTTTGTAATTCTAGATTTCTACATGTTCCTGTTAATTGAATTCCAAAGCTGGTATGCTGATGGAGTCACCTATTGGCCAAATTTCAAAAGTGATAATCAGATAGAAAGAGCAGTGAAGAATGCAGAGGAACCTGGATCAGACTGGGAAAAACATGATGTCAGAATCATGCAGTAAGCTATTCCAAGAAAATATTTTTCATCAAAAGTGAGGCTGGCTTTACACTTCGAAACTTTCACACAACTAGATGTAGCTTGCAAGTTGCATTAAGCATAATTTCTGTGCAACTTGACAGTTACTCACTCACTCAGTCACTTACTCATCATCTAAGCAGCTTATCCTTCTGAGTTGTGGTGAACTTGGCAGTTACACAAACCTAAATAAAATACACCAGTACACTGAATTATTCTACTAGTTTCCAAGATTAGTAGCTACTTAGTTTTCTCGCTAATTAAAATTCCATGCAACATGTTGTTTACCTTTGCATCTTTATTTATATTGCCTTGTGTTATTTTTCCAAGTATCACTGTTACATTTGCAGTATGAGAGCAGTCCTAATATGTTAAATATTCTAGATTATACCAGCCAAAACGATTGTGATAACAGCAAGCTATGGTTGTGGCTGAGTTTCAGAATGGTTTTATGGCATTTTTTGAGTTGTGTGAGGCTTTACATTATGCAACACAAGTGACGCAAGTTTCGTTTAAGTTTCAACCAATCAAACTCTTGTGAAAATTTCATTGCATAAAGCCAGCCTAGCCATTTTAGGCAATTTTAGAAAATGCAATTGATTTAGGGGCAGTAGCTTTCCAAGAGTAGTATACATTCACAAACACACACATAAATGTTAGCATTCAACAAATATACCTGTAGCAAAGTTTGCTTGTTTATTTATTTATTTTTTTATTTATTCATTTATTTATCAATCATAAACAAATAATGCATCCTGCCCCTCTAATTTGTTTATATATTTGATCTAAAGCTATCTGATTTAAAGTTTGTATTGATTTGAGCCAAATTTTTTTTTCCCCCAGATCAG